GCTGGATTAGATGTGACCTCCTGAGCTCTGTTCAACCCTCATTTTCTACGATTCGCAGACTGGAGACATGGGGCCAGGCTAGCTGGGACCGGTTGAATGAACAGGAGGAGTGGAGTGGTTCCTCCTTCCACGAGCCCCACTGGGTCCCTCCATGGGGCCCCCTGGGAAGCACTTCTTCAGGTGGATCTGGAACAGGGGTGGGCAAAATGTGGACTGCGGGCTGGATGCAGCTTGCCTGGCCAGTCTATTTGGCCCGCGGGGCCCCTACAAAATTTAGAAAATTTATATTTATTTGCCCCTGGCTGCCTGTCATGAGGCCCTCAATGGCTTGCCAAAACTCAGTAAGTATCCCTCTGCCTGAAATAATTGCTCACCCTTGGTCTGGAATCTCCCTGGATCCTTGAACAGATCCTTTCCTGCATGACCCTGTCCTCCAGATCCTCTGCAGTGGGATCACACTTCTTTGCATCCTGTATTCCCCCTACCCCAGGAGCAGTCAATAGCTGGATCCTAAGACTTTCAAGCCTTGGAACCAGGGAAGGCAACTTGGTGATTGGATAGGGCTGACTGGAACCTGATTTGCCTCCTAAGGGAGTCCTACCCTAGGATGAATGTCCAATAAAAGGCGAGATGGGATCTGATCTGCGATTCCAGTAATTGCACCTATTTTGTGCAACAGCTTTGTGGCTTGTCCCCTGTTTTGTTGAGCTATGAACTGAATAAGAACATCAGTAGGGCCAGGCTGGGCCAGACTGATGGTCCATCTAGCCCAGCATCCTATCCCCGACATTTGCAGAAGTGGATGCTGTAGACAGAGAGCACTGAACCAGGTCTCTCTAATGATCTACCCACTATTCGGTATCCTCCTGACCTCCATTTATTGGGTTAGAGATGCCAGAGGAAACATCTCCAACCATTATGTTCAAAAGCACTGAGCAGGAAAAACAGAGCAGTAGATCAGGCAGGGAGCATGGTGCAAAAAGCAGAGCAGCAGATCAGGCAAGGAGCGTGGGACATTGAGCAGGAAGCAGAGCAGCAAATTGTTTAGAGAGCACAGGCCACTGAGTAGAAAGCAGAACAGCAGATCAAGTGGGGAGCATGGAGCCGAAAGCAGAGCAGCAGATTGGGCATGGAGCACAGGGAAGGGGCACAGGACTCTGAAACAATGGGGTGGTGGGAGGTGTCCACTGGTTCTGCATCTGGATCTATCCCAGGATGCCCATCTCTGACATCGCCTCCAGGGCCAAAAGCTCACCAGGTTCAGCCGTCTCTGGCTGGTCTCTGGAGAAGTGAGCAGAATAGTTTCCGAAGGGCACCCCACAGCTTAGAGGGTGCCCACTGCTTTGGTGGCAGGATTTTTAAAAAGAATGGTTCAAACTACCTTCTGAGACGCTCATTGGAAATAACATCACAAGACTCTCCGCTGATGCCATTTTGGAGGTCACTTGCCGGCTCTACAGCAAGGAGCCCCATTGAGAGGACTGAAGAGCTCCTCTTCTCTCTCCTCTGGAGAAAGCAGCTCTAAGAAGCTGCCCAGATTGGATCCTGAGCTGTCTAATCCCATTTAGTCGGGTCCCTACGCCACTTTTGATCCGCCTTTTGGGTCTACTTAACCCCAGCCTGGGGCTTTTCATTTCTGGAGAACTTAAGACACGCTTCTTAGTCCTGCAACAGCCACATGCCTCTGGACAAACTGGGACCGTCTCCATTGTCCAGCTGGAGGAGTGGGCATTGAGGCCAGCAGGCCTGCCCCGGAGAGCCCTGGCTCGGTGATGTCCGATGGAGCTGCAGACGCTCTGCGCTTCGCCTCCAGGTGATGGACGGCGCCTGTGACGGAGCTCAAAGCGAATGAGACCCCGGCTCCGAGCCCTGACACCTGGCCCAAAATGGCAGTTCCTCTAACTCACCCCCAAGATCACCTTCCCGAGGAGCAGTGGTGCTCAAGCTTTTTGCCTGGCAGGCTGGATGGACAATGCCAGGTCTGTCCATGGGATGGATCCAGTGCTCAGGGTGGGCACGGCCTCATCTGGCCATGTGAAGGGACGGGAGCATGACACGACCCCATCCTAGTCATGCAGAGAGAAGGGGGCATGGCCCATCTCCAACCTGCCACGCATGGTTGGGAATTTGGTCGCGGGCAAGGGTGGCTGTATTATTGGCCACTGCTCCCCCACCACCAAATCCCCTGAGCCACGAGGAGCCCCACAGGCCAGATGCCACAGCTCCCCAGGCTGGATCTGGCTTGAATACCCCTGCCTAGAAGGGCCGCAAAGCACACGACAAACCTCAGGCCAGCACACAAATGCCCACCTCTGCTGTGAGGCTCAGGACCGCTAGTCCCATTTCTCTATTGGCAAGTTACTAGGTAGGAAGGTCCAGCTCCAGCTGTTTGAACAACATCTGGAGCCTGGCACTTCAAACACAGCATCACCTTTGCCCACTCACTGGAGGTGCTGGTCCCCGGGTGTTGCTCTGGGAACGGAGAAGAATGGGCGAGAGCATTTCCCCAGGATCTCGCTCATTCAAGCAAGGCTCCCAAACCCCACAGGACGCCAGAGCGGTGCACGATCCCCAGCTTCCTCCCCGCACTTCAGCCCGCAACGTTCCTCCCCGAGAAGATAACAGGCATTTCCCCTCCTATCCCCCCTGCCACCTCTGAATCCAGGTCCTCATTTATTTTGCCTTTTGCCACACATCAGCTGCCCCTTACCCGTCGGATCCGCTCTTCTGCGAATAAACACGTGAGAAATGACAGAGACCAAAGCAGCTTGCACAATGCCAAATGCCACCGTGATACTTTTACATCCATTTTGTTTCCCCCCTTTTTAATCCTGCCTAGGCAGGACCCAAACGAAGGGTCACGTCCACGACTGTGGAGTTGCCATCGCCAGCCTCCAGCCGAAAGGGCCTCGGCATTTAAAAGCCTCAGCACAAAGGACGCAAGTTACCGTGCACTTGGTTGATCTCGGAGTTGGAGGACAGGATCTCATCCGCCAGCTTCTGGGCGGTGGGCAGCACCTCGGTGTGATGAGCCGTGATTAAATACTGAACGAACTTTTGGAGCTGGTCCCTGTTCATCTGGAAAAGGGTCTCTGAGATGGGAAGACGGAGTTTGACCTGGTCGGGCTTGCGGATCCTGTACAGGGAGAGGGCCACCACATGGGCGCAATAAAAAATGTCCTTGTTCCCGCAACCGCATGTCACCGAGGTGATTTTGCAGCGGTCGAAGCTGATGGCCACTTTGTAGGTCATCTCTGGCTCCGTCGCAGTGGCGGGCTCCGTGACAGTTCCACTCAGGTGGAAACCTGGGGCATGGAAAAAGAGGAGGAGAAAAAGAGATAAGGTTAACCAGCTTGATTTTGCAAATGGACGGCAACGCATGTGAGCTCTGTAACACTGACAGCATTAATACCATGTGGGCACGTGCAGGCTGATGTTGAGAATTACGTGGCCTGAAATCTAAGTGTTTAGTGGGAACTGTCTAAATACTAGATCCTCCTGCCTCGTTCTGGGAGAGCAGCACCACCACCAGCGTGCAGCTCCAGGCCAAGAGACCGGAGGACTGGCTGCATGCATACCCATCTCAGCCCCCCTTCTGCGCCATGTCCTGCACTGGCCAATCTCAGAGAACAAAGAGGAAGAGACTGCTACAGAATGAAGCACGCACTGCTTTTTGCAACCCTCGGCCGCCCAGCGATCCATAACACACGCAGCCGCACACCAGGGGCTGTGTTCACGCTGGAGAGCTACATGCAGAGCTCCGGTCTGACACTCGCTGGGCGACTACACCTAAAAATGATCGGGAGTACACGTGAGCTTTACACACACACACACACACCCCCGGGGTCCTTTACTCAGCCTATTTAACCACAAAAGCTATTGCTGCCAGGTCCCTCTCCCAGCCATCATCTAATTAATCTAAGAGCACAAGGCCCAATCCTGAAGACTCTCACGCTTGATGAATGCCTGCCCCACGTATCATCTTGCCCGCTCAAATGGCCTGCTACTGCAGAGCCTGCCCCAGGTGGGTCCTGCTCACGGGCTGGTTCTTGAACAAGGATATATTTTAAACTCCTGCTGTATCCCCATTCATTTCCCCATGAGCTCCAAAACAGCAGGAACAAATGGCAGAGGTGTTGACTGGATAGTGGAGCCAAACCAGAGTTCGGAGAGTGAGATCTCTTCCAAGAGCTCAATGAAGTCTCCTGCTTCGCCACAAGCTCTTTGCTCCTATGCGGTCCTTCCACAAAATCCGATAACCCTTCAGAGCCAGGGAGCAAACCATCAGGGGACCATCTGCTCTACAGCTCCCACCTTGCTACTTCAGCCCACCAGCAGCTGCATTTAACAAACCCTGCTGCACTGTCGCACCGACATGCACATCTGCAAACTGGAGCATAGCTCCCAGGTCAACTGGGAAAAGTCCTGCCAGGCTTTAAAGCCTGGCAGGTGCACTGCCAGTTCCAAGGAGCCAAGAGCAGAGGAATACATCTTCCTTATTATTTGCAATTGAGGCACCAGAGGCCAATGCGGCACTTAGCAAATGCATCTGACAGCTAGGAATTTCCTTTCTAGTTTAAAAAGACAATGAGGAAGAATTAGTTTGCGTCTACACAAGACTAATCTACTGCACAGTAAAGTGTCACCATCTACACGTGCAGGTGCTTACTGCACAGTAAATTAGTCTACTGCACAGTAAAGCCAAATAGCATTAATTGCACATGTAGATGTACCCAAGAGGAGTCTTAAGAAGAGATCAGTCCCAAACAACTGCAGGGGTGGGGAGATCCCAGGAAGGAGAAAGAAGCTTTACCCAAGAGAGGCAAGAAGTTGCGGAGGAAGGAATGGACGCTTGAAACTGAGCTTTCCAAACACCCACCTTCCAACAACGCTTATTGGAGAGGCTTCAAGCTGGGCCCCCAAGAATCAAGACAACCAAAATCACTAGTCACTTGTAGAAACCCTAGTCCCAAATCCTTACCTGCTTCAGCGGGAAAGTGGGGAGGAAGGTTGTGGGTGGAGGGCAGAACAAATACCTTGTGTTTGCCCAGGGAGTTCTGCTGCTGGTTTTTGGGGGGTGGCTTTTAATTTCTAATGAGACAGCAGCACCGCCAGCAGGTTAATTCACTTGATCACGGTCGTAGAGGTTGGGCTGTGTCACAGCCCAGGGACCTGGCTACCAGCCCCATGTGGCTGCAAGACTGTCCCCTCCCCAAGGAGATGCACACTTGGCCGGTACCACCAGAGCCCAATCAAGACCCCACGTCAATAGGAGTCTCCCCGGAGTCAGCCCTCCGGCTGAAAGGGTTACAGTTAATGAGAGGAGAGAAAAGGGAGGGGAGAGAGGAAGAAAAAAAAAGAATGATGAAAATACGTTAACTGCATCAAACCCTTGTGCATTTGCCAGCGCTCACAAAGGCTTCCCGAGACAAATTCTACCAGAGGTTTTTAATAAATGGCATCAAACCTAGCTATTCGCTGCCAGTCTCTTTCAAGCAGCGCCAAAAACCACATTCAAATCTGATTAAGTGTCAAGGTCTGCTTTCACTTTAGAAGGAGGGAGGGAAAGGGGGAAATGCAGACCTGCTCGACAGATCTTTGCGGGCTCAGCCATTTGGATCTGCTCAAGCTCCGTCCCCGCAGGCTTGATAAAACATCTAATTCGGTAATATTTAACTTCAAAAACAAGGAGAAAGCCAGGCGGGCCCCGGCTCCCTCCTCTTCTCACTGCAGTGCTGGCGGGCAGCTTACGCCTCTGCCTCACCCGGGTGGGGATCTGGATGAGAAGTGTTACAGTTACTAGATCTCAGCCCCACGTGGATCCCTCCTAGAAGAGCTGCCCCACAGAAACGTGACGGGTCCATGCCAGAGCATCTCCGTTTTATCATGGTCTTGAGAGGCAGCTGGCAGTGAGGCCAAGAGCCATCCGGTTTCCTTTTTTAAAAGGATTTGAAGCAAAGTCATAAAAACTCTTCGGGACAAGTGACGGGCTCTCAAGGCTGCCCTAAAATGCCTTTCCGGGGCTGCGACCCCTTGCTCCGGGGCATAAATCCAGAGGCATGCCACACGCTCCTTGCTTTGGGCAGATGCTGGATCCAGGCCGGGAGCAGGAAACTGGAAGGTGAGATTTTTTTTTAAGGACAACTTTACTGAAATGCACGTAGTTCATCGTTGATTCTCGGATTAGGAACTACATGCATTTCAATAGAGTCATCCTTAAAAAAACAAAGCTTTTTAAAGTGACAGGTGCACAAAACACATCTGAATGCAGCAGCATTTTTTTTTTAAATCTACGCTGCTATAATTGTAAGATTGGCAAAATATTTCTATTTTAATACTTGAAAATTAATTTTGCGCCCAGCCAGGCTTTAAATAAAGTTTTGGTTTAAAAATCATCATTTCTAACACTTATAAACTCATCAAAATGTGTATGAAGATGCAGATAACCCTAAGCTTTAACAACATTAGCAAGTGCTGTAATAGTATTAATATACAGCTCCTTCATACTCTGCATAGATTTACTTCTATGAGCCCACACAACAGCCATAGGGGTGAGCTGAATGGGCCGGGTCTTTGCTCCTCCTGGAGCAGGCCCATGCCCAAGCAGGCTGCCAGGTACAAGGACCGGTAGCTTTGCCAGGTGCGAGGCTGAGCTCGGGCATCACCAGGCAGGAGAAGCCCAGTCCCTGCTTCGACCCGGGCCTACCTCCCTGGAAGCCTTCTCTGCCCTGGGAGATGCAACCTCTCCCAACTGGGCCCCGCTCACGGTTTGGCCACCAGCTGATGCAAAGCCCCTATTCAGGTAGCGCTGAGCTAGTCAACCAGGCTTCCCAGCTCATTAACATCTCCCTGATTTAGAGAAGACCGAGGGGGTTTGAACAGCAGTCTCCAACTCCCTGCAGGGGGGCTGCAAAGAGGATGGAGCTGGGCTGTTCTCAGCGGTGGCAGATGACAGGACAAGGAGCAATGGGCTCAAGTTGCAGCAAAGGAAATTTGGGTTGGATATTAGGAAAAACTTCCTCACTAGGAGGGTGGTGAAGCACTGGAACAGGCTCCCTGGAGAGTGGTGGAGTCTCCATCTCTGGACCCAGCTAGACCAAGCCCTGGCTGGGATGATGTAGTTGGGGCCAGTCCTGCTTTGAGCAGGGGGTTGGGCTGGATGTGACCTCCTGAGGTCCCTGCCCACCCCCATTTTATGACCTGCCAACCCTACTTCTCTATGATACTACGATTCATTTCCTAACGACTCATGCCTTGGCTCTCAAGTACAACGTTTCTACCAATATAACAGCATAACACCCACTCGTAGGGAAAACACCCCGTTAACATCAGAGCAAACACACCCTGTTACCCCCCAGCTCCATGCCAAAAATTCTTCCTGATCAAAGCAAGAAGGAAAACGTGAGCCCCTGCCTTCCACCGCGTGGTTAAGGATGACTGCTGGGCACATGTGGCGGTGGCGCACGGTACAACCCCCTCGCCTTGCTGAACATGCAGGGGATAGATTACGTGGAGGGGGGAAAGCAGAGACGCAACAAAAAAAATTTGTTTTATTTCTTCTTTTGTTGCTTCAATCCAGATGAAGTAACACAGAAAAGACCTAATAATCTGCACTATCCCCACGTGCTCCCCCACTCCTGCAGCTCAATTTTAGAAGTTCCTACAGTTGGATGCTTATCTGGGACTCTATCTTCTCTTCCTAGCATGCATTCAATATAAACTAACTTGCTGTTTGATTTGCTGCCAGCAAACTGACAGTGCCAGGATTGGAAAAATCACAAAAAAAGCAGCAAATCTCTTAGTTGTAATTAAGGTCTTGTTCCATCCAAGCTTCCCTGGGCCTAAGAAACAGCTCCAGCTTCTCTCACAACCTACCCCCATTACAATGGTCAGACAAGGGCTTGAAATATGAGGGCTATTTCCCAGCTGATAAAATGCAAAGTGCAAGGTCCAAATGCACAGACTCGCTCTACCACATCTCCACGAGGTTGCAGACTGGATAATGATGTGTGAAGTGAGAACCCGGCAGGGCCAAAACCCATCTGGCAATGCTCCTTTCTCCAGGAGCTATTCACACGCGTGATAAGTTGGGAACAGAGCAGGACTCCTGATGTTCCTTGAACTAGGGCACAAGCCTGAAGACAGCCGCCTGGGCAGCAAAGCTCACCTGTCCCCAGCAGGCAACAAGGCGGGTGGCTTTGTTCAACAGGCCCAAGCAGTGCAGATCTGAATGCATGCAAGAGCATGCACTGAGTGCCCACCATGCACACCAACAGGGCCTGGCACACGGGAGGATGTCTCCCGG